AACAACATGTTTCATGATAGGTGGGAGGTAGGATTGGCATAAAAGGCCGAAATCAAGGTGTTAAAAGCTCACAAGGCCCATAGCCAACGCAAGATGTTGAGAATTGGCCATTTGGGTCATGACATGACCTGAAAAACAAGGTCATATCTCCGAAACCAAAAACCACAGAAACTTGAAATTTTCAGTGGACATCAAGAAAGGATAGAGGAGCAGCTATACCAAAAATCAGCCTTCTAACTCTAAAAATGTTGAGTGCAGAGCAGAAAGACTACCTGGGGGGGGGGGTGGCAACCCCCCCCCCATGTGCGGGCGAGGGTTAAAATGATTTGGATTCCATATCACTTTTCTATAATGCAACGTCAACTCATTAAATGACGGTTCGAAACTCGAATGGCTATCACCAATAGTATCACACATTCGTTAGGTATGTAAAACGAGTAGGGTAGCCTGGGGCAAGACGCCCCAGATAATTTATTTTGCTACATTACTTTTGTCCCACATCACCTGGAAGGCCGAATTTGTGCTCAATGCGTTCTTTGGACATTTTACTTCAAATTCCACCCCTCAAATTCATTCACTTATGATCGGACTCCTAGCTAGGAAGTGATTTGTGAAGCAACTGCAAATGGGGCATTTTGCCCCAACCCCAGGGCAAAACGCCCCACGGCCTGGGGCAAGAAGCCCCATACTCTAGATTAAAGATTGAACATGCTAGTTGACTTAAATCTTATATGAGAGGTCTGTTAGACCTTGGGAAGCACGGCACTGAAGTTAGCTCCTTCCATCCGATCAGGTGTTCAGCTATGACACTATTGTATGAGCAGGTTTTTCACCTGCCTCATAAGGCCAAATAATAAATTATTGCAATGGAAATGTTAACAAAATACTTCCTTTGCCATCCAGTTGCTGAGAAAAGTACATATAAATGCATAGAAACTTACTGTTAGCCAGCTACCGAACATTAGGAAGTGGGTAGTCCGAACAACACATGAGGTAAAACGCCCCATGGGGCGTTTTGCCCCGCGACCTACTGGGGCGTTTTACCCCATCACGTAGTTCGGTTAGAGAACAACGCCTTGCACTCCAGCAAGGCATAATTTAATACGAACCAACCCGGCATTATAAGCGTTAGATAAAGTTGTTCAAAATACATAAAAGTCGTTAACCTGATGTGGACTATAAAAGAACGCCATGATACATAAGCTGACAACAAAACATAAAAATCACTCCAAAAACACATTTTTGGCTATATCTCCCTAAAGAGTCATCACAATTACTTTCCAGTCTGCTCATATAATGATCATATAGTGCACGTTTTATAGAAGAGATGATGTTTCTCCAGAACCTTGCCAGTTCCGAGAAACATCGGTGAGGCGTTTTACCTCGGCGGGGCGACTTGCCCCGGTCTACCCTACGTCTTTTATTTTTTCTTTATTATGTTTTAGATATGGAACCTTACAACTCATTTAGCTTTGTCATAAGCAGGCGGAGCGCCTCTGAAAGCTCATCCGATCGTTACCGGAACAACACTCGCGGTGACCTCGTGTGACCTTTTGGGCGGCGATAGCGGGCGCGGGGCGACCCACCGACTATCGGACGCTCGGGACTCTCTGGCGCCGCGGGGATCAATTGTGGGGACAGGGGAGGGGGGGGATCTGCCCCTATAGTCTGGTCCACTCTTCTATTGAGATGACGCAGTGGAAGGGATAGTCAGACGACCTTTTCTGACACATGCCAATGCAGTAGAGGGGGGGGGGGGGGGCGCTTCAATTCAATTCTGTTGAGTGGTGTGCCTCTCATTTGCTAGAGTGAAGCTAGTTTGACGATATGGACATTGGGTTTGTTGATACCTATGCGAGACTGTAGCACAGACAGACAAATGTGGAATTATGACCCGTGTGACTGTTGCATGTATGAAATATGCATTGGGCGCACATTGCTGAGCTTGTCGTGTACCTACTCTCTAAGGGCTATGGTCACCTCACGTCTGTTTTATGTATCGGCGTCGCACGCTCTATAAATAATCTGAATCAAGCAACTCTAAAATCGAAATAAGAAATGATATGCAGATGATCTGGCCCATCTGTTACCAAAGCCAGTGTAAAAGTTTCCTGCACGACCTGCACGATAAAGAAGTTTATCTCATTTGTTTATCGGTTCACCATCGCCTCATTAGCTGTTTATCTCACGTCTTTTCACACGAATTTCATCGCACGTCACGTCACCACACATCACTCCATCATCATATCATCACATCAGCACCTTTGGCGACGCGGCCACTTCAGACGAACCGCCAGCGCGGTGACTGCACAGGGGTGCTAAGTGCTAATGCTACCCTACCCTGCCCTGCAAGGCCGTGTCCCCCACCCTGCACGGGGATCGCTGCCCTGTCCTGCACGGGCGAACGATATCGAAATGAGTGACGTGGCGCCGTATCGGCGTCCCATTCGACACTGTTCGGTCGCTCGCAGTAATTAACAACGCGGTAATAACAATCGATAAAGTAATCATGGTCCGGTCAGGCGCAGAGTAAATCAGGTCGGGTCACTCGGCTAACGAGGCTTTGATTTATTACCGTATCTGTCTGGCTTAGGGCAGAGACTAGATACTGATAAATGCTCAGTATCTTCATTTGACCCAACGCTGTTTTCACGCAATTGCTGAGAAATGCGCTCCAGAAAGCAATGAGCGCCAAGGCGGCTGGAAGCGGAGTATGGGGCTATCACCGCCGCCTCCAACGAATGAGGCGGTCTGTATCCCAGTGAAATATAGGGCCTATTTGTCATAACTCGTATATCACACTAGCCGCTGACTTTCGGAAACAGAACAGCAAATCTGCCGCTTTGCTTTTTTGGAACGAAGATCTCTCGGCCTGAAAGGCTATTGCACACTGCACAGCTACGAGATGATAGATTAGGATGTAAACATTGGTCTGTGCGGGCCGCTGAAGGTGCGCCGCAGCGGCAGAGATCCTCCCGGTGAGACAGCCGCTCTGCCGCTATAGCGGTCACCCCGGAGAGGGTGTGATCGATTGAAGGCAAGCCCAATGCAGACTTGCTCTCGCCATCGCACAGTAGGCGATCCAGGCGCTCTAGCGCTTCAGGGACCTAGGATACCAAAATGAAAAATATAACCGAATGATGGTTTATTGTGTAGCCAGATACCCTGGCAGGTGAAAAGCAATACTATTTTTGACATTACGCAAGGCACTTCCAAACCATACCCATCTGAACGCCACCCAAGCTCGATAGGCTGAAATATCTGTCCTGGGCCGTGACCCGACCCTTGTTGTTGTGTGCTCTGTTACTCATGAATATCGCCAAAAATGCGTTTGAATGCAATTCAAGTTTATATTTTACACCTTCCCAAGTATCATGCATGCCAAATAACTTTGTTTTGAAATTGCGTATGCATTTGTATATCATTTGCATTATACCCTTTCAAACGCATCGCTCCGATTCTGTATAGTAGGCTTTGGCAATGCGCAAGTCTTGCCATCCAGATGATTCCGCAATAAAAATCCCATTTACTTGTAGCATAGCTATTGTTCTTAATATCCTGAAGAATTTAGCTGCCTTTTTTTGCGACTCTTTGAGTTATTGAAATTTTTGTAACACAGAACTGGTCGATTTTGGGGGTACGTCAGCTGGTGAGTAGTTAGGTAGAGGTGGTTTGGCACACCTTGATATCTCGAGAACCGCCCGACCGACTTCAGTGGAACAAACAACATCCGATTCTTCTGGTCAAAAGCTACATTATTCAGCTAAAAAAGTTCAAAAATTTGCAATTTTGGAGTACAAGAAACCAAAAATAACTGCGTAAAAGTCGCTGTGTTTTTACATATGTTCAGAAGTCAAGGACGTCGTTGTTTCTTGGACAATACCAACCAAATTCTCAAGATAGCTTTCTCATGGGCAAGAGTTTCACTACGTTTCAAAGATAAGAGTTTAAGAAAATCATAGGCGTGTTCAGGTAGGCAAAATGGGAGGGGGAATATTTTGTGTGCCTAACTTCGTTAGCTATATATCGTATGACATGTTTTGCAATGATAATTTAAGACCTGCAACACCTAACAATAATGCCTCTGCCAGGAGAGGTGAATCTGTGCGATATGCTAATCGTGGGAAGTACACCACAGAAAATAGGTACCACTTCTGATACCAATCAACACTTTCTTTGTAAATTACCCCCTATCGCCCTCGCTCCCACTCACAGACAAAGCACACTCACACATTCCTTTCACTCAGTCATCCTTTCCATCCACCTACTCAAGTTTGCATTGCTTCTATTCCTAAGATGTAGAAATGGAGACTTTTTGTGTGGGTGTGTGAGAGAGAGAGAGAGAGAGAGAGAGAGAGAGAGAGAGAGAGAGAGAGAGAGAGAGAGAGAGAGAGAGAGAGAGAGAGAGAGAGAGAGAGAGAGAGAGAGACATAATTGTGAATGTCCTGTTGAACACCTACGTAGTCCTATGCAATTATATGATTGCAAAACTGGCCCACGTAGTTTGCAATGAAGTGGGATATCCGTAGCTGACGCCTATAGTTGATCGTTACCTAAGTCATAAGTTACTTTGAAAAGGTCACAGTAGTTTTCACTTTCAGCTTTCTGTTCTGTTATAAGCCTATGGGGGAAAGGCATTGTTTGCTTTATTGCATATTGCAAAGAAAACACAGCAGTTTCTGATATAAAACACAATGTCAGGTGAAGCGCAATGAAGTGTTCTACAAAATGAGAGGTTACAAGCTCAGTTCTTTCGAGCCTAACTCGAGATATAAGCCATGACGTGCTAGAATAGCGAAATCGCCTACTGTGCATCGGCTGTCTGGTGAGGGTGACCGGCGCCAGGGGGAGGGGGAAGCGTTTGTGGACAGTGGGAAGGGGAGGTGGGACGCGGAGGGGCTTGTCTTGAGGAGGGCGAGGGTGGATAAAGTCTTTTAACGTTATATCGTTAATCGATTCCGCCCCCTTCGGCCAGCTCTGACGCCAATTTTCTCCGCCAGGTGAACCCTGGCAGCCTGTCGGCCGAGTGCGGACTCCGAGAGGGCGAGCTGGTACTCCGTATCGGCGGAGTCCCTGCCGCTACCCTCAGCACAGCCCAGGCACATCAGCTGATGAGGGAGGCCGGGGGACGGATGGAGCTCACCGTGGCTGCGCGGTACGTGCTGACACCTGGCGAGTGAAACGGGAAGCTGTAGTAGTCAGGGTGGACGATGGTGCGCTGTGTATCTGTATTCTGCAATTTGCATGATCCAAGGCCGTATAAGAGGCATGATCGTCTTCAGCTTTGCTAGCCTCGTGTATAGAGGGCTACCTTCGAGGAATGGCTCCCTTAATGACCCAATTTCGAACATTACATTTGCGAAAGTGATTTCCCCGCTACAGCCAATCTCGTAGCCGAATGTAGAATCGTTGCAAACGTTAAAAGCGCCCAGCGGTGGTGCTCGGTGATTTCGAAGTAACAATATCATGATCCGCTGAATCCGCCCCTGAGAATGAGGGTTGTAGGTAGGAACGTAATTTTGATTCGTATTTTTCGACTCTCGTGCCACAATCGTACATGAGTAATAACTTCGACGATATACCTACCTAAGCATTTTACATTCGACGACATCGACGACACCAACATTTTACATCCCGGCCCTATGATATTCATGAATCCAGCCTCAGCTCGTTCCCACCCCATTACTCCACCCCGTCGACATCTCTTCCTCCCACTGCCGTTCCCTGTGTCTCCGCCGCCGGCGGCGCCGCCCGGCCGGTATATTTGGCAGCAGGGTCCAGTCGCCCGTGGCCCTGGCAGATACTCCAGCGAGCGGTGCCGTGTTTTGTGGGGCTGGCACCGGCCACCCCGGGGAGAGGGCAGGGAGAGGGGCGGAGGAGCGCTGGAGGCCACCAGATGAGCTCAGTCGTCGGGCGGACTCGCCCCGGGGCACGGCCGGGTACGGTCGACTACGGCCTAGTACGGCCGAGTACGACCGAGTACGGCAGGTCATTGTACGGCACCTGAGAGATTATCGTGCAGCGTGGTGTGATCCCCTCCGGCGGCTCACGGATATTGGGTGTTAGAAGAGTGGAATTTAGAGTCTCCACTTGTGAGTTTCGGGGTGTGTGAATGAAAAGGTCTTGGGTTTAGTGCTTGTGGATGCTTCCTGGCGTGATACGATACTGGCTAGCTATCGGTGACGTCATTTTGACGTCATGAAGTTCAACCCTCACCGTCGGGACGGCAGTCCCAGTTACTACACCATCGGAGGGAAGCTGCTCATCCACAACAGGTCGGTATGGGGAGACGTCATGTCGCGTCACTTGTCGCCTTTCCTGCAGAGAAGTGACAAGAATAAGATGATTTTCTATCTGTGCAGTGTGCGCATTTCATTGGATCTTCTTAGCGCGAATGGTCTCGTAATTTTCGTTAGATTGACGACGTTGGCCTATTCTTTTCAAAGGTTCGTGGTATGAGATATAAAGACAGCATCTGCCCGCTAGTTTGAGCTATGCACATTTTCCAGTTTCAGTGCTTCGATGCTACCGGGCAGTGGGCACCGGCGTGGGCGTCCATACTAAAGGCTCGCCGACGCCTGGTTCTTAGGCTGTGCCGCCGAGCTCCCATGCTGTGCGGAGCAGCATCTGCGGGAATTGGCTTGTCTCCGGACTCAATCAGGCGACTTTGCCGTGCTTTACTCATCGATGCCATCGGGTGTGGCATCAGATGTTTCAAAGCATTTGGCCTGAATAATAGCCCATTGTCATTTACATGCATCATGCAAGCCTGGTCTATAACACACGCCGAAGCTCGAACTCCGATTGTCGCAAACCGTTCAGATTAAATTACCCGATTTTTACGTCTTCCAGTGAGATTTTGTCAGAATTCCACAGCCCTTTGTGAGTAATGACATCGTCCCGACTGACGCTGCCTCTCGCATGATCTCATAAGATCACATCGGGCCTGCCATTGAACTTCCGTAATATTTGTTGTCGCTGTAAGTGTTATCGTTCCTCCTCAGTTGCGCTATTGACGTTTATCTCTCCTGTTCCAGTGAGATGCCGTCGCCGCGGATGAGCCGAAAACAGAGTGCTCCTGCTGCCGTGCCTGCTCCACCCCCGGCTCCTCCCCCGGCCCCGGTACGTCCTCCACCCCCGGCTTCGGCCGCGGTACGACACGGCAGCCCCAGCGCCATCCGGAAGGACACGGTACGTCCGCCGGCCGCGGTACGACACGGCAGTCCCAGCGCCATTCGAAAGGACCCGGTTTCCGTGCCGGGGGCTGTGCCGTCCGTAGGCCCCCGGCGCAGCCCAGCCCGCAGCCCCAGCCCGCAGCCCCAGCCCGCAGCCCCAGCCCGCAGCCCCAGCCCGGCCCGGGTTGCCGCGGATGGGCTGCAGCGGTCGGGGTCCCAAGAGGAGCTGAACGCTGCCTTCGAGCGGCTGGCTATGGGAGCTGTGGCCCAGCAGCAGCACCAGCAGCAGCAGCAGCACCAGCAGCAGCAGCAGCAGCAGCAGCAGTCGCAGACCCCGCCGCCGTCCCGGAGGATGGTGGCTCTGAGCCGGAGTCGATCGCTGGACAAACCGCCGGGGATGCAGCGACACATCGTGAACGGTGAGTACCGCCGCCGATGCATCGGCGATGATCTGATTACGGTCCTTGCTCCGTTCTTTTTTTTTAACCCACGAGCCGCTGGGGGGGGGCATAAAGTTGCCCCCCCCTTTACGTTTTGTGAAATATCTCTGAAACCTGATAAGCTACGAACGTGAAACTTGGCATAGCTTCAAATGAATACCTAGGCAATGTTTGAGGAAAGTGTGGTGGTTGTAGCACCTAAGATGACGTCACAGTGACGTCATAAAGTTTTGTCGTTTTCCGATATGGACCGTTTCTGATGACGCTGAGCATGCAACTCAACTGTAAATGAACTAGACAGCACCTGCTGTCATCCTAAAACATCTAACTACACTTCCATCTAGTTTCTGACTAATAATCGACCCTTTATATTCGGTCCCATATATCTGATGTATCGTGAGGAATATGAGAGTCGCAAATCTATGATTTCACTTATGACGTCACTGTGACGTCATTTCAAATGGGATCGACACCAAATTTGGACACAACCTCGGCTAGGTATTCAGGAAGATGTGTACAAAGTTTCGCTTCTCTATCTCTTCGCGTTGCGACGATATCGTCGCAGAAGTAAAGGGGGGGGGGCAACTATATGCCCCCCCCAGCGGCCGGCGGGTGGCGCGGAGGCCCAGCGGCCGCCGGGTCTTTACATTTTTGTATCATTACACCTGTGATAATGATCTTTGTATCATTACACCTGTTATGAAGGTTGACGAGGATAGTTTGGAATAATGCCTTTATAGTCTTTACATTTTGACGAGGTCAAATGCAGCTCCAATATCACTTACTGCAATGTAATTCATGCATAATTCATACAAAATACCGCTATCGCATTAGTGTAGCTACCAACATTAGTTAATGCGCTTCCCGGTACAATGAACGATGTCAGCGACTGTACCCAATCACTTTGCCAGCGGCTGTACTGGGGCCATGACCCATTTGGTGCGCACTTTATGCGTCCGGGGCTCAGGTATCCGCCAGGGGGAGGGTCAGCGGAGGGTGGGGGGTGGGGGGGGGGCTGGGTCCGATCCGTTTCGATGTGGCGCGTTCCGACCCCGGGCCGTGGCGGTCTCAATTTCATATCGCGATGCGGCGCTGAGAGCGAACGGCCTCAGCGCCAGGTGGGCTGATAGCTCTACCAATGCACCATGGGACGGATGGCCCTAAGAATGCCCACTTAATCAAAAAAATAAAGTTTTGTTTTCTGATTTCTAAAGATGGTTTCCAGTGTAAAATTGACCAGCGGACCCAAATATGGCAACGATTTTAACTCTAGCAGTGCCCTTTTCAACTAATTTGACTTCAAACACAGGCTACGTCCCACCCGCTATGGACGCGAGTCGGACTGCTGAATCTGGTATGGTATTTTGAGATTGTATAAAGCAGTGGTCGGCAGGCCCTCCGGGGTCGTGCCCCCTTTTCGGGCGCTAGGCAGGGCCATTACCCCCACCCTACCAGACACCATTGCATACACAACCGAGCGCACTGAAATGTCATACCTTTCCGTGGCTCTTTGGGTATTTCGGGTATTATTATGTAAAAACGTCGGATCACGGCAAAATTTTACCCTCGAGCCGATCATTTTTTCTTTATCTGCCATAAAACATGTCATACATTGACAGAAATAACTGTTGACTTGTTAAGCAGTTGTTTCTTGAGATCATGGAAGGTCATAAAATTTCAATTCTAGAAGGTACAGCGGGTTCTGATCTACTACACAATTGTCATTGACCCTTTGAAAGTCTTAAGTCACCCAATGGCCAAGGAAGTTAACCGTCACCCGTATTGGTGTTTTGCCAGCCGCTAATTTATGGGGGGAGAAATTCGTTGGACCCCTCTTTGTCGTTCGGCCCCTGATCAAGCATGAGCTTCGCGGAAAAAACGAGCGTGTTGCCCGTGACGAGAGGAAGCTGATGATACACGATTTTAAGGTCCTAGGTTATTGATTGACCTTCCAGGTCGGCTCAATGACCCAAAAAGTCGGAAAATCGAGACCTGCCAGAACTTCGTAAAGTGAGGATGTTGTGGAGTTTGTCGGGGTACTGATCACGAATTTTATTTAAGTTTTGATCACAGATGTCTTCGTGCATTTAGGCCAGGTCGGGTCAGGTCAGGTCAACCAATTGGCGTCCTGTCGGGTATTTATCGTAGGCATCAACAGCCACTGACAGCTTCGTAACATGTTACGAAGGCACCAAAATTACTTGGTATATGTTCAAATGGTTGCGAAATTCTAGCTACAATGTATAAAATTGATAAACCTGTACTGAAAATGTCATCGCGATCGGCCGCTTTTTGCGCGAGTTATTCGCGAAAACCCGAGGAAAAGGGGGGGTCCCCTATAAGTGCGAAGGTTAAAACTGGGTAGCAGCGTCTTCCTATCGTCACGGGTAGCACGTTCATTTTTCTACCGCAAAGCTCCAGTTCAGATTTCAGTGGCCGAGAGGCTGGGGTCCGACCGGCCCCTCCCCGTTTACGTTAGCTGTTATGAAAACGCCAATAGAGGGGCGACGGTTAGCGTTCGATCTTTGAACCCTAAGACCAAACAGGCGTGATGTCTGTCCCATCAAGGGAGACATTAATTCTAAGATAAGGCTTTCTCAGAGGCCCCCATTACCCCCCGCCGAGGGGCTCCATTACCCCCAAAGGGGGCATGCCCCACCATTTGCCGACCCCTGGTATAAAGGCATGAAGCTGGAATGGGAGGCAGAAAATATGTATATCATTATGATGCTTGGTTAGTGGGCTTGCAGACGGACCACTTTTGAATTGATTGTATTGTACTTATGACAGCTTTTTTGGTGCAATTAACACGTGATATCAAAATATGGCCGCTAACATTAAGAGACAAAGCTTAAGTTAGCTCTACGTAAAAAGTTCCATCGAGTTCCGTTAAGTTTCTGCCATCGTTATTGTCGTTAGCATGTTGTTAAATTGTCCTGAGATTTTCAGCTGCGGATTGCTGCGGTTTTCGGAGATATGCCGCGTGAAGTCGATAGTTACCGGTCGGCAGGCTGAGTCGGTCAGACGCCGGGGCGGCCGGCGGGTTTCAAAGGGTGGGGCGCCTCCGTCTTGTGCGTGGCTCTTCGGCACTACCGGGTGTCAGGTTATGGAGAGCAGGGGCAGAGCGACCCGATAAAACTCGAGACCGACCTTATATGACAGAAAGGCGGTCCTGTCGGCATCACTGCGTATGAACGTACGGGAAGAGTGCGCAGTCGGGTTGCATTTGGCGTCATGCTGCGAAGGGAGCTCTTTGAGCTAATTGAGCTGCAGGGAGGTGTCTTGTTGAGCCTGCTGGGAGTCGACATCTATAGCGATGAATCCGACTTAGCGATTCTGACGCCTTAGACGCTGTAGACGCACGCTGTCAGGACAAGGCGCCTTGTAACGCATAGAAACAGCGGGTATACAATGTGGACTCAATTTTGCCAACTGGTACTGTTGCTAATCACGCGTTCGTTGATAATTTGCAATTTGACACGGTTGACTTGTGTTCGTTTTGCGTGCAAATGTGTGATAATCTGTTTTGATATTCCTGAATAAACTTTGAAATCACAATCATATTGTTGATTGTTTTAGGCATCCCTGAATAAAAAACAGCATTTAAGTTGAAAAGATGTTATTTAGGTTGAATTCGTGATCAAACTGAGTCAGTATGCTTGATACAATTTGAAAGCAATCTATGCGAAAAGCATGTGAACTATGCATCATGCCTGGGAAGTGCGTTATTATTAACCTGGCAATAAAATTAACGTCAAAATAGGACTCAGCGCATAAAATAACCCCCTTACGTTCCAAATTAACTTTGTCTTACGCAATCCACGATTTAATAGGCATTTTGGGGGCCATCCGTCCCATAGTGCAATGGTTGGTGGTAGGCATTGAGCATAATGCACGGCGAAACGAGCCATGCCACAACTTGCCATGAATTGTAATCTAGCGACAATATTAGGATTATTGACTATTTTGGTGGAGTCTTTTTACGTATTAAGCCTTAAGTAACTCATCTGATATGATCCTTCCAAATTCCAATTATTGTCGTGGAAAGCGAGGTTTATTCTTATTTCAAGTGTTCTATAAGTCCTCACTCCTCTGACGTTGCTCATGGCGATGGCATTTCCCGCTGGGATTTCCTCTGACCTGTCCCTCCCTGTGCGGTATGAGAGGTGCCAGCGGCTCCCAAACAGATGAAAACGACGAATACAATTCACAGCAGGCTGAGGCACCGTCACACATGTGGAGACTCAAACAGAAAGAAAAATTAGAACCGGAAGCACTGTTTATATAGCACCCCAGCTACCTTTACAAAGGAGTTTCTTATTTCCGGACCGCCTCCGTCCTTTTAACTGATCCGTAACGAGAGCTATTTTCTTGACGAAGGTGTGTTTACGCTCCTCAAACTGAGGTTCTCTCATCCAACTGTCATCGCCAGGTCAATGACCCCAGTCTGCAGCTGAGACCCCTCCCTGTGACCTCTGTGACCTATGAAGGTTATGTCGCTGTCGCCGGGCGTGCTCTGTTATTAGGAAGCACCTGTGGTTGATGACTGTTCCACGGAGGACACTTGTACATAGAT